TTTCACTACTATCCATCATCCTCCTAGATAAAGCAGTGCCATTAGGAACTGCTTTCCAGCATCCCCAGATGCAATGGCACCGAAAGAAAGACAGCCATAATTCATCAGACATATTATCTGTCTCTTATTTTCTCTCTGATTAAAAAAAATGCCTTTCCCCCACCACTTGAATCAGTTTGGGCATTAATCCCTCTGGTCTTCTGTTGAATATGTTGGTGAGCTGGGAATTGGAAAAGTTACCTGGAAGGCCAGAGCTGGCTGAGCTTTGTTTTAGTGGAGGTGGTGCTGAATTTTCTGCAAAAGCAGCTAAATCTGGGCTGGGGAGAGGTACCCCCTGTACATGTTGTGGTGTGGGCAGGTCCCCATCCACCAAATCCTGCATTTGAAGAAGAAGAAATGAAGGCTGGAGCCTCCTCTGCATCCCTGTGGCTCAGCCCGAAACATCCCAGCTCAGGGGATTGAGACATCAACCACCTCCCTGGTGGCATCACACCGGGAGCTCTGCGCTGCTCCCTGGTTTGGGGATGGGATAACTGCGAGCACTTCCCAGCATTCCTGGGCAGGGATGGCGTTTTCTGGGAGCAGGATGGACAGGGAAGATCAAACAGGCAGGAGAAAGCTTTCAGATGGCGCCCAAAGGAAGGGAATTGCAGGGGAGGAGAAGCTGAGGATGAGTGGGATCCTCTTCCTGGATTTAATGGCTTTAATGCTGCCCAGATGGAGAATGTTTCTGTGTCTCGTGTGGGGGAAATACAAACGAGCTGCGAGGCTCCATCCACCCACCCCGCATGCAGCAGCTCCCAGGTGGAGATCCCTGGCTTTTACTGAGGTTCCCCTCTGCCAGAGGAGAAGGCAGAGGAGGCACTTTCCCAGCAGCCTCCTGGGTGCTGCCAACATTCCTGCAAATCCCAAAGCTCAGGCCCCCTCTCAGCACCTCCATCCAGCACCAATTTGGCTTTTTAACAAAGTTAAAATCTCAGTGTCCATTTGGTTTCTATATCTGCAGGTGCAGCAGTACTCACTTTAACCCCAGAATATATTCCCATAAGGAGTATTTGATCACACGGAGCTCTGATAGGAAAGGGTTGCATTTAAAAATGCAAATGTTTGGATTAATTTTTCCACCTCTTCTTTTACAGTTGACTTTACAGTTTTTCTCCAGCTCATTTGGAGTTTCTTAGACATTTTCTCTCAACAGGTACCCCCAAAAAGCCAGAAACACTACGACTTTCACTTCCTTTTTCTCACTGAGCCTGTGGCTTTATTTCCCAGTTATTTAGGGCATTTATTTTCTGTCCCCATTTCCAAAGATGCTGAAGGCTCTGAGCAGGGCTGGAACACCCCAGCAGTCTGTAGCCTTGCCCTCAGCCTGCTGCTGTGGGTACCACAGGCCCCATCCAGGATGGCAGCTGTTGGGGGTGGTCAAGTGCCAACTAATAAATTGCATTAATAAACTAATGTGCACCATGACCCAGTTCATAGTGATGGCAGGAGCTTTGCCAGGTTGGTTTATCTCTGCTGAACCAAACACTAGCTACTGTTTCTCAGCACTGAAAACTGGACTGGAGTTTATTTTCCCTTTCCCCTGCCTGCTTTAATGCTGCCTTTCAAAGTTGAGTTAACTTCTAAAAAGTTTTCATTATGGATATTAAGGAGTTCTTCCCAGGACAGCCATTATGTGACATTTTAATTTTGATTTTTCTGGTGAATGAAACAACATCTTCAGCAGATTTATTGCTTAGTGAATGGCCCAGCCATGGCATGTGTCAGACCTGTAAAACACTAAAATAACGGACAGGGGATTGTTGTTAATCGGAATTTATTATGCTACATAAAGGCATATTTACAGTCCCACCAGGGGACGATTAATTTGTTTGGGGATAAACAATTAATCTCCCTGGGAGTAGGAGCAGAAAATCTGACACGGTTTTATGCCTTTTCCCAGCATGGCAGAGGCAGGATTGCTCACAGCCTCCCTGGGGGCATCTCCCTGGCACTGCCAGGGGTCAGCAATGCCTTGGCATGGGCAGCCCTGCTTCTCCCTGGCAGGGTTTGCACTGGGAGCTGTGCTCTTTACTGGGATAAATTGGTCTTTTCCTGCCTTGCTGAGCTGGGCTCTCACAAGCAGCCTCCTGTCTCCCCATTATTCCTCCCCACCCTGCCTATTTTTGGGTTTCAGCCTTTGCATCTGTTTCCTGCATCCTCTCCTTTCTGCTCAAGATGCAACAGGCACAAACAGGGAGGAGAGAGGGAGGTGGGAAGAATTTCAGCTGCTATTCTTTGGTACCTTTGCTCCATGGACTTCTTCAAACTTAAGCCTTCTTATTTCTCTTTGAAAGCAGCTTTTTGATCTTTGCAGGAGCAGCTCCAGTACAGGGCAGGAGCACTTGGGATAATTCCCAGCTGAGGCCCTGGAAAGGTTATGACAAAAACAAAATTGCTGGTTTCCAAAAGCATATGCAGAGTTTTGGCAGATAATGTCAGCACACACCCAGCAGAATGTGGGAGCCAGGCAGAGAGCAGTGCTGTGCCCTTTTCTACTGTCACATATTTTGGGGGCAGCTGTGGCCCTGCCACCCCTTCTGTCCCCAAGAGCTGCCTGGCAGCTGTTCAGTGGTTCAGCATTCCTGGCCCACGTGGCAGAACCCAAACCTCACCATTTTCCTTCACCTACTGCCCACATGAATTCCCTCACATTTAGTCACGAGACCTTTGTTCCCATTGCCAAGACCTGGCTGGATTTGGTGGGGTTTTGGCCATCCCTGTGCACATCAGGATGCTGCCAGCCATGAGACCACTCAGTCGTGTTGCCAAACCCCGATGGCAGCTCCCAAACCAGACCAGCTCTTCTGCCACTTAAACACTCACCTGCACCCATCCTGTTTGTGCCTTTTTCCTGTCACTTTGTCCTGAAAAAGACCTTCACACTTCTCCACAGGGATTAACAGTCTGAGCAGCTCATCAGTTGTTTCCAGCAGGAACTGTGAGTTTTTAGGGGATTTGAGCTACCACAATTAAGGAGAACCTAGATCATTAAAAATAATATGCTTCACAGAAGAGAGGAACCAGCCTGCTTCACAAGATCCCTTTCTGCTGAAAAATTCATTGCTTTAAATAATTAATGGTCCTTGCAAGGGAGGATGGTTTTGCTGGGCAGAAGGTGAAATACAGATGCCAGGCAGAGTAATCTTATTTTTTTTTTTGTTATGAATCCAGATTTCCTAGCCATGCTGCTTCCCTGGGAGCAGTGAGGGAGCAGGGCTGTGCTGCTTTCCCCATGGGGCCCCAGGCTGGGAGAATGTCTGTGCAATGGGGTCATCCACCCCATCCCAAACCCCATGGGGCCATCCTGGTGTAGGGACAGGGCAGGGGTCTCTGCTGGGGGTGTCCCAACCTTGTATCTTAAGCCCTGAAGCAGCACTTGTCTGTTCAGGTCTCAGTGGCTTGGAAGGCTCTGGAGAGGAGCAGCCATCCCTGCTGGAGCAGCCTCCCCATTTCTCTGGGTATTTGTTTGCACTGCTGTTCCTTTTGCATTGCATGTCAGGAATTCATTTATCGCTGGGACAGCATTTGCATTGCTCAGTGCATAAATAGGCTATAAATAAGATGCTGATTTCTAATCACTGCACAGCCCCAGGAGAAGCACTCACACCAGTGTGTCAGGCAGTGCCCACGCTGCCCTCGCCTGTTCCTCTCCAACACCAGTGTGTCCCTTCTTGGAGCAGTGGCAGCTGCTGGTTGTGGCCGTGTCACCCAGCACCAGCCAGTCCAGCTGCTAAACACCAGCTCAGTAGTCAATAACAGAGGCAGATGTAGGGCAGAGCCAGACCTGTGGGACAGCATCACTAATGGGAGGGGGTTTTTAGCTGTTTGGAGTCTCCATTGGCATCACAAGGTAAATCCAATTTCTCTTTCCTTGCTCAGCCTGCCTGTGGTACCTGCAGAATCATTTACATGCAGCAGATTGTTTGTAACCTCTTTGGTGAGGGGAGGTAAATGGAAACCTGTATTGGGGGTTGTTTCTGTAATAACCATGGCTGCCCAAAAGCTCAGATAGAGGGGGGGAAATAAAAAAGGAAAAATGTGCATTGCTAACCAGAATGTCTCACCAGGACAAAAGGGTTGGACAAGGGTGGAAGTGGGACCTGACCTCCTCAGAGCAGCTCCCACAAGGCTTTTCAGGAATATGGGAATGAGACCTGCCTTGGAGCTGTGCTGCTTTAGAGAGCTGTGGCTGCTGTTACTGCACAGTGACTCACCAGAGCCAGCAGCATTCCCTGGAATTCGCTGGGAAGTGACAGGAATTGATGTGGCTGCCGCAGTGCTGGGACTGAGGTGTCCTCACGCTGTTTGAGTGCTGTCAGGAGCTGGGTGCTGGAGGAGGAAGGTCCCTCACTGCTCCCAGCCATGCCATGCCCTGGCTGGGCTTGCACGTGTCCCTGCTGGTACAGGGACCACCTTGTTGCCAGTGCCATCCCACTGGTGAAAGAAATCACCTGCAATGGGGACAAAACCAGCAGCAGTGCAGTGATTGAACACCTGTACCCAAGGGCGAGCTGTTTTGACATGAATTAGTGCTTTTCCCAGTTTTTATGCTGCTGGGGGTGGGAGCAGCCTGCCTTGTCAGCAGAGCTGCAATGAGAGCAGCAGTGGGATCCCAAAAATGCTCTTTGCCAGGCCTGCTGAGGCAGGTGCTCTCATGAGATCCATTTCAGTGCTCAGCAGAGGCACTGGCACATCATAGACATCTAAGGGCACTTGTCTTAGGATGTGGCCTTTCATGCATGTCAGGCACTCGCAGTTGTCACTGTAGCCCCGGTTCCAGTAACTCCTGGGAGCAGGGGATGGCTGAACCTCGGTGAATTGAAGAGACAAAAGGTGGAAGGGGAAAGGTGGGAGAAGCTGCCCATGACAGGGCTCCACTCCCCACTTGCAGAGGAGGATTTCTGGGGGGTGTGGTGGTGGGGTGACCTCTCTGACAGCCCCGTGTGTCCTTTCAGACGAGTGCTGTGCTGTGTGCGGGTGGCTGTGCCCTGCTGGCCCTCAGCTCCCTGCTGGCCATCGTTGCTGTCCTGCTGCCCGGCGGAGCCTGCGAGCGCCGAGTCTGCACCCTGGCTGGCTACATACAGACAGCAGCAGGCAAGTGATGGGGCTTTGCTCTTTGGGGTGGAAAGATGGGCTGTCCTTTTGTGGCATCTTGGAGCTCAGCAGCATGAGGAGCTTGCAAACCCTAAGCAAGGGTGGGAGAAAAGCAAGTGGCCCTTCAGTTTAGTGATTGCCTCATGCATTCATCATAAAAGCTGCTGATCATCACCTCCTCACAGATGCACAGGTCTGTGGCAGAGCCTGGGCTGCAGGTCCCGCTCACTGCCCCCAGCTCAGGATGTTGTGTAGGACAGGGGGCTGGAGTGAGTGAGGCTGTGTGCTGGCAGGGTGCTGCTGCACCTTCTGGGGTCCAGTTCCAGCTCTTTGGTTGAGCTTCTGGAGGGATTTCTCTGTGCTTTACGTCTGAGACAGGGGGTGGCCCAGCCTGTCCTGTATCTCCCCCAGGCAGCCCTCATGATGCTGCATCCACTTAAAATTCCACTGCAATTGCCTGTGCTTCTGCCTTGGGGGAGTGCAGAGATAGAGGGTAGGAGGCGGGGGAGGGACAAACCCCACTGGAGGCTTGTCACCCCTGCAGGGAGCCATGTCCCTGAGTATTAGACCAAACCTCCCCAACTGGACATGAGCCATAACAGGAGATTAATGCCTGTTTGTGTCCTTTCCTTGGAGAAATTCTCAGGGCCAGCCAGGCTTTGTTCTCTGCCTGGAAGCATTCAAGCTGCTTTGGGGGGAAATCCTGTTACATGCTCTCCTCTCCAGGGCTCATCCTGTGGGATCCGATTTGGGACAGATGGAGGTGGACAGATTTTAGCCATGGCTGCTCCACCTCAGCTGGGCTCTGGGACCATGGAGACAGCTGCTTGCGCCTGTCCCTTTCTCCCAGTTTGGAGAATCACATCTCTGCTGGCTGGTGGCCAGTGGGTCCCCTGGGTGTGGGACAGAGGCTGGAGGAGCCCCATGACAGCAGATCTCAGCCCCAGGGGGGTGACTCAGGGTGGCCTTGCAGGTCCCTGCGGGGGATAATTGGGGTAGAAAAGGATAACCCCACATTACCTTTGCCTGGGGGGTGGCACATCCCTGCTGTGTCTGGAGCAGATACAAAGCAAAGGATTAGGAAGAGTCCCTGGAAAGGAAACTGTGGCAGATAAATACAATTGAGGCGCTGTGAGGGGTTCTGGTAATATTGAACAGGCTGTAAATAAACTGTAGGCTCTAAGTGTTATTGACAAATGAAAATTTACTGGGGACGTTTGAGCAAGCTAATGGGTTGCTTTAAACCCTGGCATTGCCTGCTAAGCATTTTGTCTTGTGCTTTTTAATTTTGTGCACTGTGGATTAATTCCCATTCAGAGCCAGGCAGCCCTGAGTCAACAGAATTAAATGGTTTAATGTATTTGGATTCAGAAATGCTGCCCCTCCATAATTTTTCTCCTTGTTACCCCCCTCCCTCCTTAGGAAGAAGCTTTTCAATAGAAATCAGCTGCAGTGAGGTGACAGGGAGAGAAACTCCTCCCCAAAAATCACATTATCTCAGAGAAAAACAGGGATTTTAGGGTAGATGGAATTATATGGGAGGGGAGGAAAGCAGAGCAAGCCCAGGAGGTTTGGTAGAGCTTTCTGATGGGGGATGAGGGGCATCTCTGCCAGGGAGACCCCCTTGAGATGCTGGCAGAGCAGTGGGGTTTTTTTCCTCCCAAATCCCAGGTTTCCAGGTTCCACAGTCACCTTTCATCTGTCTGACCAGACATTTTCCCACTGAAATCTAAATTTTGCTCTCATCTTCCCGTTTCACAAGGCCAGCTTGATAAGTAAATAAGCTTAATTCTATAAAACATTGAATCAGGAATGCAATGTCCTGATAAAAAGCCAGGTGCATTCAGCCAGGAGCATGAAAGATGCCAGGAAGTACAGGAGCAGAGGTACCAGCAGAGCCAGAATCAGCCCCCACAGGCTCTGCACTGTCTCAGAAAGATGCCCTGAGCTGCACTCACATAAATCCAGGTGCAGAGGCCAAGGATTGATCCCTGAACCGAACAGGAACCAATACTGAGAGCAATCCCACAGAAAGGGAAGCCAGCTTTAACACTTTCCTGCTGTATATTTGAGATCCAAGTTGTGCCTTTTGCAGCCCCAGAAGGGAGGAAAATAAAAACCTAATGCAGACAGAGCAGAGCACTAATTGCAAATGCAGACAGGCCATCAGGGTTCAGAGCTGGGCTAATTGCCACCAGACTTTGAAAACATGAGTCCTGATGCCTGGCATCCACTCCTCAGGAAAAAACCCAACAAACCAACATATCCACACAAATGACAAGAGACTGATGCCTAATGAAAGAGTTAATGAGCAACAAGAGGAGGAGGAAGGGTAAAGGAACATTTGCTCAGCTCTCTCACCCTACAAAGTCAAAGGTGCCCCTGAGAGATTCGAGATGGGGCTCACTCCCAGTTCATGGTCACTAAAATGAAATTTCTGGGAGATCCTTCCTTCCAAACATGCACCAGGCAGCACCTCCAAAGGGGCTGAGGTAGCCAAGCTGGCCCATTTATGTGTGGGGTGCCCCAATCCTCAGCTGCAACCCATTGCTATTGCTGAAGAGGGGTCCTGGGGCTGGCCCCAGGGACAGGGAGGGCAAGTGGGGGCACAGCTGAAATCTTGCCAGTTGTCCTTCAGCAAAAGCCCCTCTGCTGGGGTTTTAAAAACAGGAGTTAATTCCAGGGAGAAATGTCTCGTGCTGCATGGGGCTGAAAGGGAAGGACAGGGAATGTTCTCCAGGGCTAATTGTGCCAGTACAACCTCTCTGGTGGCTGCCAGGTGCTGGTCAGGGGCCCATGGTTTGCAGCTGGACATTACAGTTGACCTCTGCAAGGCTCCCAGAGCAGTTTTTCAGTGACTGGCTGTGGGGAAGCTGCTGGAAGGAGGACGGGGACATCACAGAGTATCAGGCACTGGCTTCACCCACGGGACCTGTGGAGAGCCACCCAAGGCTCTGCTCTGAGCTGTCACAGCCCACACAATCCCCAGCAGTGTCACTACCTTTCAAGAGTGTCCTGAACCTGGAGGAGATGAGAGCCAGAGCAGCCTCTGACAGGTTTCCAGCATGGACTGTGCTCCACAGCCTAGCACATCCCCACTCTCATGGGATTGGCCTTCCCAGGGCAGTGAGGCTTGTGACTGATGAAAACAGATTGCAGCTAAAGCTGAGTAAACCACATCAAACAGAAAATCTGGGCAGATTCTGCTTTGGGGGCTCGTGGTAGTAAGGGAAGGATTATGGGTGCGCTGTAGGATGAAGCTGCTGGTGACCACGCTCCAGCACTGAAGCTGGTTCCATCTGCTGCTTAGGAACAAGTCCTCACAGGCAGGATGAGCAGCCTCCCTCATCCCTGAAAGCCTCAATAAAGCCAGGACTGTGTTGCTTTTGGGAAGCTTTTCCCTGTGTGCTGTTCAGGCAAAGGGCTCTTGCTTTGCTGGCAAGGGCTGGCTGATCCAACCTGATCCACAGCTGCTGATCCTTTCCTTGGTCTCTGTGGCCTGGCAGGAGGAGGCTGCAGAGCTTGGCACCCCAGTGAGGGCACAGAGGTCAGGAAGCCTTCAAGGCTTCAAGGGAGAGTTTTGCTTTCACCCCACACTGCTCTCTGTCCGATTCTACCACCATCAACTCACTGCTCAAGACAAATCCAGTGCTGAGGGCAAATGATCCTGACTTGCCTGTGCCTTTCTAAGGTTCTTTTGGTTTTAAAAAGCAATTTCCCAGCATTGGCATGACAGAATCAGAACAGTAAAAAGACAGGCAGAAACCCCCAGTTATGCAATTCCCTCATTTAGCCACACTGTAATCCCAGGTTTCACGGTAGTCCCAAGAGCTTCTTCCTGAAAAATCTGATTGCATTCCGCAGCTGAGATCTCTTTTACTGGCAGCAGCATGATGGCATTGCAGAAATAGCCTCAGCTTTTGGTCAGTTAAACAGCAGAGCAAAATGCAGGAGACCTTGTGATTTTTGTCTGTTCTTTCAACACTGATTATCCAGTAAGAACACAGAAAAAGGGAGAATTGTTCATTTTCATGTCAGTGTGAACCTTATAAATGTACCAATTCCCAAGGACTGAAAACCAACCTAGATTAAAATGGCATCTGCTATTCCCAAAAGAAGAGCAGCAGGATGGGTGGAAGGTTTGGGACAGCCCGTGGGCAGCAGGGCCACAGCAGGACCCTGTCAGGATGCTGTTCCAGTGTCATGATGTTATTTAGGAAGGCAGGACATGATCCTTCCCCCTCATTGCACCTCCCATCCCGCCCTGCATCCCAGCTGGGATTGATGGTGCCCTGTTTCTCCCAGCTTGTGCAGGCTCTGAATGGCAAACAGCACCATCATCCGCATCCATATTGATCCCCCAGACTCCTATTGATCAGCCTGGTGACATATAGGTAATGTGTAATTAGCAACTTAGATAAAAACAGCACCAGGAGGGAGCTGCCTGGCAGCCCCAACCTTTGCTAGTGTGTCCATGGAGCAGCAAACAGAGGGATGGTGGCTGCCTGGTAACTGCTGACTTGGCATTAAATCACTGGAATTCTTCCCTTCCCTGCAGCCATCACTCCCGTGCAGTTCCCTGCAAGGTCTCAGATCCCTTCTATCCTGCCCCTTGCCCAGAAATCCTGGTTGGAATAATGGCATGAGGAAGGCACTCTGCCAAGCATCCCTTTCCAACACACCTGTGGCAACATCCAAGGATGTTGCAGGGGCCACAGGGCAGTGGGGACGTGCTCTGCCCCTGGGTTCAGTGTCACAGCACCACTCTGAGGGGACAGAACTGGAGCAGACACATCCCCAAGGCAGGGAACAATTTGGAGTTGGGAGCCCAGCGCTGCAACCAACACTAAAAATGTTCAGGAATGTCCAAGGAGAGGAGGGTTGGAGCCATTCCCAGCCCATGCAGCCCTTGGCACCCCATCCTGCACAGCCCAGCCCAGGGCAGACCCACAGCCCATTTCCTGATGGGTGTTTTTGTGGCTGAGGCAGCCCGGGAGCCC